CCTTGCTACTACTGACTCCCTCCTCCCAATCTCCCACATCTTTTTTGCTTATGCCGGACGTAGCTTTGTCCATTCGTGGGTGTTGGTTCACAGGCTGAGAGTCAATTCTTTAACATTGGGGGCCACTGCCTTCTGGAACAAGAAGAAAGAACACCAAACGTTGTGAAGCCGAACTGAATGGGCGCAAGATCCATCCTTTGTTGTATTTGCTGCTTCTAACGTCACAAAGTTGATTGGCAGAATGAGCATGGACAAAAAGGTGAATGCAAGACTTGTGCTAAGTGGATCCACAGATTGATTGGTCAAATACTGCGCAATTATTTGATAGGCATAGCTATCGCCACATAAGAAAGAAAAAATAAACGTTGTTGTCATTAAGCAGAATGCAATGGATGCAACATATGTGTGCTGTACCCCAGTGTAAGACTGAATGTAAGAAAATCAGTCTGAGTGGGGGGGGTCAAAGGGAGCAAGAGGGACAGATTGTCGACGTGAAACTTAATGATTTCGTCTTATCCGAAATGGCAATCTGCAACTTTGAGTCTGTATATGTCTGGATTGCAGGAGAATAATCACAGGAGAATAATCAAGGGGGAGAGAGAGGGAAAGACACAAAGACATTTGAATAAATCTTAAACCACCAGTTCACTGACGAGCACTGTTCATCGATTGCAGTGAACTGCGAACAGACCTGGGCCGTTCGGCTCAGGGCCGGTAGAGGTTTGGCAGGACAAGGGTGGTGGGCCCAAAAAAAACGTCGTCATGTGCTAGGAGAGCTGCAACAGGAGTGAAAACATCTGCACTGCCGAAAAAAGAAAAAAAAATGGCACCATAAAAAAAAAGAAAAAACGTTACAAAAGGAACACACGAGAAAATAATCTGTTGCAGCTGTCACTCCCCAAAAAGAGCACCACTGAGGAAAACGTGGCTCCACCACTCACCAACTGTGCAAGTTCATAATGGATCTTCACTGAGAATATGGCTAGATGAACCGCCGCAGGTTTTTGCTGTTTTTTTTTGTTTTTTTCCCACAACAGGGTGCTCTTTTCCCTCCGCCTATTCAGTCCCATTTTGCGCATTCACGTGAATGGCGGTGGAGGGAGGCTCGCTGCACCACTCTCCACGTGCACAAAAGACAAAAAAGATGGTAATGTATCCTTCCATGTTCTAGTGGTGAATTCAGTCTCATTTTGCACATTCCGAGAGTATTGCAGCGAGGCCCAATTTTGGGATGAAGGCACCTTTCTTTCCAGCTTGAGGGCCTCGCCCGTCTTGCCTGCTTGAGGGCCTCGCTCAACTGCTCTCGGAATGTGCAAAACGATAGTGAATCTTCCGCTAGAACATGGAGAGATGAACCACATGATTTTTGTCTTTTGTGCATGGTGAGAGAAGCCGAGCGAGGCTGTGGTACAGGACTTCGCTGCACTACTCTCCACATGCAGAAAAGACAAAAACTTATGGCAGCGAGGCCCACAGTTGTGTCATAGACTTAGTCGTTTTTTTTGTTTTTTTTTTCCCTCTTTCTCTTATGGAAAAGGCAATGGCCTTGAGATATCATCATTGGACTGACGAGGTCCTGTTTTTTTTTTTTTTTTTTTTTTTTTTTTCCATCTGCTTTCCTGGTTTTGAGAGCTGGCTAGGGCCGTGCATGAGTGAAAGCGCGATACAACTTCCTTTTTGCTCCATCTGCTGGCCACACGTCCAGCACTTCAGTCCTTAGAGAGGCCGGTACCGGTACCGCCCACAATTTGCCAACGGGTGGTACCAGTCACTTTCAGGCTCGGCAAAATGCATTCTTTGGTTCGTTGAAAGAGGTGTCGGTGAACTGGTGGTTTAATGCGTATTTCAAGTTCCTTCCTTTTATGTTTTCTGATAAAATAGAATTGATTCGAAGAGTTGGAAATGTGGTATGAGGATGAATGGCTGCATTGAGGGGGAAGGGCTGCAAGAAAGTAGGGTGTCATATGCTTTTTTTTTTTTTCTCCCCCTGACTTCGAAAGACTGTTCAGCACACACATATTCAAAGAGGATCAAAGGAAGACAGCATAAAGGAAGACACACTCACCTTCGTGCCCCATGATGTTGCTGCGTTTGCTCCGTCAAACTCTATGCCAATTTTGTTCTGGTTGAAGTTGATATGCTTGTTGTCATTGTGGCGATGTCCGTGAGTCAGTCCGTTTCCATCACATTTCACATGCATGTCATGATCACGGCAGGGCTTTCCATAGCTTATTGCAGCGACACCTTCAAGCAGTGGCGACAGTAGTTTTTGCTCTCTTGTGCCACTGGGCTCTGGGCGTGGATCAGTGCGTCCTCGACATTTTTAGTGAGGGCGTCATTGGGGCACTGACACACAAACCGGCTCGTTGCTTTAGGATTATTGATAGAAGAAGAAATGAACATGTTGGTTTAGGCTTGTTTAAGAGCGAAATGGGGGAAGGGCTGACCATGGACGGAGGGTGTGCTTTGCTAACAAATCTTAGCTAAATTGTGTGCGATTTCCCTGCAGCTGCCTCTAGTTTGATGTCTTCTGCCTGCCGAGGTTTAATTCCTTCAGACATTGCTGGACCTGGAAACTTCCAGTTGACACTGCCGAACATGCGGTCAGCTGATGACGGGCGGATAGTGAGTGCCCTGATGTTGCCAAGCATGGCGGACGGCACGGCAGAGAAATCAGGACAGATGATCCTTGTAAGCAACTTCCCTCCGGCAGCAGAGGATTCAGGACAGGGCAGGCTGCGAACGCGATTTGATAAAGCGCTCTTGGTCAAGGCTCATCGGTTCATTGCAGAGATGAAAGACCCACAGGTTCCATCTGGTTTAAGGGGTATGGCAAGGTTGCCCATGGCAATGCCAGCAGGATCCTCGGAGACTTTGCGTGGACCTATCGTCCAGGAGTCGCTTAATGGGGTTCCTGCACCTTGCTTTCCAGAGGAACAGCAGCAGCAGCATCCCGTTCAAGGTACCTTTTTGGGAATGCAGCAGACACAGCCACAGCAAGGTGATGCATTGGGATTGCGATGGCAGGAACCACTGAAACAAAAGCATGTGCATGATGTGCGACATGAGGAAATGCAACAGCAAGCGCATATGCAGCAGCCGCAACAACAGCAAATACAGTTGCAAATTCAGATTGATAAGACGCTCCATTTTCTCCAGCAGCAGCAGGCAGACTTGGAAAAGGAAATCACAAACCGCAAGAATGAATGGAGGTTTCTTCAACAGCAGCAACAGCATCTTCTTAGTCCTCATCAGCAGCAGCAAATTCAGATTCAGGGAGAGAAATACCATCAAGAAATTGAAAGTTTTCAGCAGAGCCTCAAACGGAATACAATGCAGCAGAAGGAGATTCTGATGAAGCGGGAGCAGCTCCATCGACTAGAAAAGACTCCACAACTACAGCCGCAAGCTTCACAATTGCAGCAGCAGCCTCAGCTGCAGATACAGCAGCATCAGCAGCTGCAAATGCAGCAGCTACAGCAGCTACAGATGCAGCAGCAACAACAGATCCAGATGCAGCAGCAACAACAGCAGTCAGAGATGCAGCAGCAGCAGGTGGTGATGCATCAACAGGCACAGGTGCAGCAGCAAGAAGATCAACAAAGGCAACTTGTGCAGCAACGACAACAGGACGAACACAAGCAGATCTTGCAGCAGCGTCAGCAGCAGCAGGAGGACCAACAGAAGAGCCGTCCGCAGCAGCTGCTGCAGCGTAAACAACAACAGCTGCTTCACCAGCAGCAGCGTCAGCAGCAGCAACAACAACAGCAGCAGCAACAGCAGCAGCAACAGCAACAGCAGCAGCAACAGCAGCAGCAACAGCAGCAGCAACCGCTCCAGCAGTCATCACTTCCACAGCAACAGTCACAGCAACTTCAGCAACCTTCACAGCAGGTGCAGCAGCTACAGCAGCAGATTCAGCAAATTCAGCAGCAGCAACCGCAACAGTATCAACAGCAGCAGCAGCAATCACACCAGTATCAGCAGAAGAAACACCAGCTTCAGCAGCTTCAGCCACAACAATATCAACATCAGCAACTTCAGCAAGAGCAGCAGCAGCAGCAGCAGGGGCAGCAGCAGCTTCAGCAGAAGCAGCACCAGCAAAAGATTCAGCACGAGCAACAGCTTCAGCAGAAACAGCAACAGCTTCAGCAGCAGCAGCAACAGCAACAGCAACAGCTTCAGCAACAGCAGCAGCTTCAGCAGCAGCAGCAACAGCAGCAGCAACAGCAGCAGCAACAGCAGCATTTTCAGCAGCAGCAGCAGCAGCAGTTTCAGCAGCAGCAGCCACAACAACTTCAGCAGCAGATTCAGCAGCAACACCAACTGCAGCAGCGTCACCACCAGCCGCAGCTTCACCTTCAGCAGCAGCAGCAGAAGCAACAACAGCAGCATTTTCAGCAGCAATCACAAATTCAGCAGCAGCAGCAGCAGGTTCAGCAACAGCAGAAGCAACAACAGCAGCAGCCGCAGCAGCTCCACCAGCAGCAGCAAAAGATTCAGCTTCAGCCGTCGCAACAACAGCTTCTTCATCAGCAGCATCAACAGCATCAACAGCTGCATGATCATGTAGCCCAGGAGCAGCTGCAGGAGCAGCTGCAGGAGCAGCTGGAGGAGCAGCTGCAAGAGCAGCTGCAGGAGCAGTTACAGGAGCAGCTGGAGGAGCAGCAGCACCAGCGATTGCATTTTCTGCAGCAGTCTCAACAGTTGCATGTGTCGACCTTGCAGCATCAACCACCTCAGTATTTGCCATGTCAGGAGCAACAGCTGCATCAGCCTATTGTGAATGGGTCTCAGCAGCTTTCACAACAGCAGTCCCAGTTGCCACAATTCCACTCATTGCAGCAGCAACCTTTCCCCGGCCAGCTTGAACACCTCCAACATGCACAGCCTACTGGCGCGCACACTAAATCTTCGTCCCAAGACTTGCTGCAGCAAGAGAGGCAGCAAAATCAGTTTCAGCATCCACAGCAAGTGCGTCTGCAGCAGTTGCAAGGACAGCAACCTCTGCTGCAACAGGATCAGCTGCAGCAGCAGCATCAACAGCAGCAACAGCAGCAACAGCTGCTTCCACCTATGCAACAGCAACTGCAGTTTCCAGCACAGCACCAACCACCTTCAGGTTTATCTTCACAGCAGGCACAGTTCCAGCCATCTCAGCAACAGCAACACATGCCAGCGCCACAACCATTCCAGACACAGCAGTTTCAGGGACAACAACAGCCAACAGTGCCAACCATTCAGCAGTTCCAGTCTCAGCAGCAGCAGCAGCAACAGCAGCAGCTCCATACACAGCAGCACAATCAGCTGCATGAAGACCATAATTTTCGAACTGTGACATTATCCCAGCAAATGCCTGAGACAACACTGCAGCAACCTCAGCGGCAGCAGCAGGTGGAGCAGTCATATGACCCAGTCCAGATGCAGGAGCTGCGGTCGATACAAGTACCCCAGCTTCAGCAGCACCAGGCACCGCAGAATAAAGAGCAAATAGTGAAGGCTGTATTCCCTGTGCAGGGCCTTCCACGTGCATCACAGGCACAGCAACAGCAGCAGCCATCGCAGCCAGTCGAAGCACCTCACCAGGCACCTTCACAATCTCTCCAAGTGAGCCCTCCCCGTCCATCGTTACTCGAGCAGCAGCATTCGCAGGGTTTTCAGCAGCAGTCGGCAACTCAGCCGTTGCAGCAGCTTCAGCAACTGGCTCAACCGTTACAACCTCAGCAACAGCTAGCGCCACAGCAATTGCAGCCATCACAGCATGTTAGAGCACAGCAGACTGTCACGTTACAGCCTCAGCAGCAGCACCAGGTGCCCCAGCCAGCAGCTCAGCAGCATTCCTTGCAGTTGAAGCATCAGGTGTCAGAGGGTTTGCAGGGAGTGCAGAAAGAGCTTCTTGGCCCTCAGGCAGTCCAACATTTTGGGCCACAAGAGGTATTGGAAAAGCAACAGATGCAGCAGGCAGCTCAGCTGTCATTGCCTCAGCATCAGCAGGTGTTCAGCACATCGCAACCTCAAATGCTAAACCAGATGGGTGGGCTGCAAGAACAATCGCCTCTCAAGCAACTGAAGCACCAGCAGCGGACATCCGATCATCAATTGCCTTCCATGACACAGCTGCAGCCTGTGCCTGTCCGGCTGGAACCTGCCTTGCAAGTGCCATCGGAGGTGCAGCACCCGTTGACAACACAGTCGTTTCCACAGTGCCAGCAATCGGATGCAGGTTACATCCAACCACCAACGTCTGTTGGGTATGCTCACCATGATTCTGACTCCTTTTCTCATCAACAGCAGCTGCCCCATCAGCAAGCTGAGTGGCAGTATGATCAGCAAATCATGCAACACCACGAACAGCAACTGCAGCATGGACAGCAGCAGCCTCTCTCAGAACACATACTTGGGCAGTCCCAGAAACCACAGCAGCCACCATCACACCAGCCCGCACAGCTACTTTTGCCCCAGCCAGGGCTCCCTGCAGGACAAGGTAAGTGAACAGTGTGGAATACCCCATATCCTTAAATTGTCTGTACTCACTTAGCCTCGATGAAGGACATGGTTGTTCCCTTTTCCCGACTTAGCGTGGACCAAAATTTCATCTTTGCTGTGAATGCATGGAACACAAAGGAGATGTACCAAAATGGAGAGTCGTTTGGGGTTTTCTTGATTGGAAAAGAACAACTCTTTATACTGCTCCTGTGCTCCACCATATGGAAACCCTCCAGTTTGAATCGGGCTGCTCATGTATCAGGGCTGGTATAGGAATTGGGCTGGTTGTAGTAGTCAACCTGCTCTAACGGACCAGGTTGCAGATGATGGAGGAAGTCCATACTGGTCCAAGCATGTGCGCACATCTCAGGTGTGAGTCAGACATGCTTTTCTCACATCTTAAGCCACCAGTGCAATCCTCAGTAACTGGAGTAATCAGTGCTGTTTAGGGATCTTTCGGCTGCAAGGAAGGATACGTGAGTGGATGTATGTTGAATCTCTCCTTATCATGCTGTAGGCTATGTAAAGAAATACCAAAGTCTGTCTGTATTCATGCCTGAAGTCTGATGCTACCTGAGTTACAGGAAGGCTGATGCTGCCTGAAGTCCGTTTGTATTCATGCCGTAGCTCTGTAAAGAAATACTGAAGTCTGATGCTACCTGAGTTACGGGAAGGCTGATGCTGCCTGAAGTCCGTCCGTATTCATGCCGTAGGCAAATGTTGCATCCCCGCCGACCTTACTGCAGCCGACCAGTAGGGCCGACCGGTCGGCGGTCTGCCGACCAGTCCGAAAAAGAAAAAGAAATAGCAAAAAGTTAAAAAAACAAAAAAAACGTCCACTGCTTTTTTTTCAAATCTGAGTTGGGGGCTATACTGCGCTTGCCGAGTACAGCCCAAATCCGCTGAGAAACTTTTGGGGATGGGGGGGGCTATAGGGGGGTATAGGGGTGATATAAGGGGTATTGGGGGGGATAATGAAGATGTTGGGTGCGGTTTGGGGGTGCTGGGGGGGTGTATGGGGATATTGGCAACCGTTATGGGGGTGTTGGTGGTGTTATTAGGGGTTCTGGACCCCCATTTTTTTTATTATTATTGAGGGCGTGTTCCCCGTTATCATGGGACAAATGAATCTTCCCACGTTCTCGCGGGAGATTCATTCTCATTTTGCACATCTGGAGCCCAGTCGTTGTGTGCGCCTCTCTCGGGATGTGCAAATCGGGGACAGATCTTCCGAGAGAGAGAGAGAGAGAGAGAGAGAGAGAGAACGGATCCCCTTAACACGGCTCAGACGGCCCATGCAGGCTATCTGAAGGGTCCTCGCAGCCATGTAGTGCAGACCCCCCCACCAAAATCGAGGCAGGCAGTGAATATGAAGTAGAGCACGAGTGCCGAAGATATACTCAAGATTCGAATTCAGGTCTGTGTTTCAGCCGTTATGGGTTGCTCACGTAGCTAGGCCCTGTTGGTCTCTGCACGTGACTCTTAGGGCTTGGCTGCACTACTCACGAAATGTGCAAAACTAGAATGAATCTTCTGCAGAACGTGGCATAATACGCCACCATATGTTTTGTCTTTTGTGCATTTGGTGAGTAGAGGCCCTTAGGGCCACAGCACGTATTCCTAAGAGAAAAAAATGAGAAAAGAAAAGAAAAGCGAGAAAACAGAGAAATAGTGACCCATAACCGAGATGCACAGACCTGAATTGGAATCCAGACTATATATTCTCTGGCCATCCTCACGGAGTACAAGTTTGAAGTGTATCTCTGCATGACGTTGGGTCCTAGCCAATGTGCTGTAGGGATCCTTCCGAAAAGAGGCTGGACACAACTAGGACGTTTTTATTTTTCTACTTTTTTAATGCGCCGCATCACTTGTCCGTGTGTGCATGCGCGTGCGGCACCCCGCATGAGATGCGCCGCAAGTATGATTCGAACACATCTCTCTCTCTCTCTCACACACACACACACACACACAAACACAAACACAAACACACACACACACACACACACACACACACACACACACACACACACACACACACGCACACACACACAAAGGGGGTCCGAAAGGGGTCCGAAATCCCCCGACAGGTGAGTGCGCTGGGGGGGCCCGGCCCCCAACCGGGTGCCCTGCCGTGGCCAGGCCACCCGGGACCTCCCCCGGGCCCCTGCCGGTCACCGGGCGGCCCGGATCCCCACTCAGCTACAAACTACAATATATCATACGCCTCATGCTTGGCCTCGCATTATGTGCCCATTCCCTACCTTGGGCTATGCCCCTAATACTCACGAGCTCCCTTGGTTCCTTACAGTCTATGTATTGTGCCCCGGCTTTTTCATTACAGCTTTGCAAATGGCTCTTTAGTATTTATAGGATCAGTTTTCCTTTTCACTCCTCGTATTATCAGGTTTTCCATGTGTCTCTCCCGTTGCCGAGCTGCTAAGTAGCCCCCCCCCCTAATACTCACGAGCTCCCTTGGTTCCTTACAGTCTATGTATTGTACCCCGGCTTTTTCATTACGGCTTTGCAAATGGCTCTTTAGTATTTATAGGATCAGTTTTCCTTTTCACTCCTCGTATTATCAGGTTTTCCATGTGTCTCTCCCGTTGCCGAGCTGCTAAGTAGCCCCCCCCCCCCCACCCCCCCCCTCCTCAAAGGGCGACAGCCTTGAGATATTATTGTATTATCATTGAACCGACCAGCCTCAGGCAATTCGGAAGAATCTGATTTCAATCATCGAGTTCCATTTGGATTCGAACCAGGTCTGTATTTCAACAGTGCATGGGTCTAGAAACTGAGCTGGGCCCGTTCCCAAGTAGTTATTGAAGCAGATGTTTCCATAATAAATTCAACAGTTTTCAAGTTTTCAACCTTGTTAATCAAAGTTCTGCAAACAGGCACTTCCAGATTAATTGCAACAACCTCGAACGGTTCTGAACTTCACTCTTCAAGATTTGAACAGTCGATGTACAAGGAGCAATTCGAGTTTTGCATTTTTTTCTCATTTTCTTGTTTGTTGTTTTTCATTATTTTTTCACGAAGCAAATATCACACATCGCCTAATTGTATTCCCGAAGGCCCGCCAGATCTGGGGCAGAGTGGCGGATGTGTGGCTCGCCCTGATTGGTCTGCCCTTACCGAGCAGACCCTCACAGGTTTCACCAGAATGGCCAAGCAGGAGGAATACCAGTGTGATCTCCGTCACAGACTCAGGCCTTTGGCACTCTGGATAATACGGAAAAGAAGGTGCCGTGAGGCGATAGACGATAAACAGCAATCATTACGTCAAGCATAGGAAGAGCTCCTTCGACTGGTCGAGGCAGTACTGGACCGACAGTAATAGAGCAGAGGAGGAGGTAGAGAGAAACCCGGACAAAGCACAGGCCATCCAGCACAAGTTCCAAGTGAACTCGCTTGGAGCAGGTAGGATAGCCTTGATATAGAGGAACTGGATCCGATTTGGTTGGCCCCTTAGGCTGGAGCGGTTCCCCACAGATAAGAGGGACCCGGCAGACGACACGGTCCATAGTCAATTGGGGTCCAGTTGTTATGGTTTGGCAGTGAACTAGTGAATCAGGCTAGGGAGGGTGTCCAAGTGAATAGAGGGACGCGGGGGATGCTGGACCCGGTTTCTAGCTTTGAAATGAAAGTAATCAGTAAGCTCACTGACTGCGTACGGCTTGGTAGCGAATTAGTGAATCAGGCGAGGGAGGGTGTCCAGGCGAGTAGATGGATGCGGGGGACGCTGGACCCGATTTCCAGCTTTGAAACGAAAGTAATTAGTAAGCTCACTGACTGCGTACAGCCGTCTGGCTGCGTGCAGAAGCGGCAGGGTGACCATCCAGTGTAGGTTGTGTGGCTATGAATGCTACGTCTCGCACAGCGTGGACAAAAGTGCCCCCCGGGGGTCTCCCAGGCCGGCTGACGCCGCCAAGTAGGCTAAGGAAGAAAAGGAGGGCACACCGGAGAGCGAAGACAACAGGGTCACCAAGAGTGAGGGCGCAAGGCAGGAGAACAGTGGTAATGGTAGCTATGCTCCAGCATAGCGTGCTAGCACAAGGAAGGGTAGGGACGTCACACCGGGTATGCCAGGGGGAAGGTCACAGAGAGCAACATTGCAGAGCAGGGAAGGAACAGTGGTACATCCGACCGAACAGGAAGCAATCAATGCTGCTGTCTCTGGGGCTCCGGGCCATAAGGAGCGCGGGGTGATTATTACTGTTGTAAGGGATGCTGGACCTGGTTTCCAGCCGTTATAATGAAAAGGATTTCCTTCTTTTCTTGAAAAAAAAGACCTTTTTATTAGTTTTTAACCTTCTGGCATTTTTCTGCTATCAGGCCATTTTCTTGAATGTTCATTGCTTGTCAAGCTCTTATTTCCACAGACTTATCAGAACCTCACTTTTTAGCTTCTCTTTTTTGCGTTTCATATGTTTTTACAGAGTTCAGTGCAACACCACCGCTGCCGCTGCAACAGCAGCAGCAACAGCTGCCACAAAATCAAGTGCTTGTTCACAATCAACCACAGCAGTCAATGCAGGGGCATTTGCATCCTCTTCAGGATAGACTGGTGTCTAATGTAGACCAAGATCTGAAGCCTTCACTCTTGGAACAAATGCAGCATTCTCAAACTCAGCAAAAGCCAGAACAGCAACTGGATCAAGCTCAAGAGTGCAATGAGCAAGTTATCCAAGAACTGCCGCCAAAGGGCATGGAGTCGGAATTCCAGAAGTGCTGGCCGCAGGCCCAGCAGATGCCTCTAGAGGGGCAGTTTTACGAGCCTCAACCACCAGGATTGTCCATATCCCCAGCCCATGACGGCGCACACATTGAGAAATTGGCAGGAAAAGAACTCCAGAAACCTCAGTCCAATGACCAGCTGGCTCACGGAGGGTGTGAGGGAGAAGAACAAAAGTCCAGAGAGCAGCACAACCATGAGCAGGTGTCAAATGGGTCATGGCATCAGCTGAACGAGTCATTGGATATAGCCGCCGTTCAGGTCCCGAAGCTCCCAATACACAAGCAACCTGTAGAGGAGGCATGTGTCTCACAACCTGGACCAGATGCACTACGGGGGCAAAACGTTGCTGAGGAGCAGGGGCAAGAACAGCGGGAGGAGAACATGGTCATCAGGGAAGTTTTGGTTCACCAGGAGGCATCCGAAGTACACCAGGCTACGGCAAATGAAGCTTTCTCTGAATCTCCGATTGTGGCCGAGGGGAATGGAGCAGCAGATCAGTCGTTGAGATGTGGAGCACCAGGGCAGGAACGTGAAAAGGAGGAACAAAAGGCCATTGTTGATCAATTGGGAGAAACAAGCCAAGATGCTTCCAAAGGTAAGGATGTAGAAGGTAAAGTAACACAGATGGAGGTCGATGGTGTAGCTTTGGACAGCGGTAGTCCTTCGGAAATCACAGAGGTAGGAAAGGAGGTGTCGAATCAGCCGTCTTCCGATCCAAAGGTGAAGGTGGAACAGGGCTTGGAAAGCATTGGTCAAAATACAAATGTGTCAGGCGCAGCATTATCACATGAGAATCAGGGTGGTTTGTCAGGACCTGCGACGCCAAATCAGAATGTCCATCAATCACAATGCCTCTCTCCAGGGCAGCCAAGTGCATCATCTGGCGAGGGCCAGCTTAGCACTGGCCAAGTTGTAGATCCTCAGAAAAGAGAGCAGCAGTACATCAACCAACGACAATGCTTACTGTGGCTGCAGCATACAATGAACTGCAATGACAGTGACTGCAAAACCTGTCCAAGAGTGAAACCACTGTTGGCGCATTTGAAGAACTGTCAAACTCAAGGCTGTATGTATCAAGGTTGTGCTAAATTCCGACCAGTTTTCCATCATTACCTCAAGTGCAAGGACGAGACATGTCCTGTATGCCCATATGTAAGGCGTTCTCTGTGGAAGCTGGCACCTTCTGCTGCTTCTGTTGCCGTCGGAGCACATACGTCCTTGTCCAATCCGAGGCCAGTGGTTGTACCTGCAGTGGAAAGCCCCTTGATTCCACCTATCCCAGGTAGTTCAACAGGACCTGCGAACAGTGGCTCATTTGTTGTGATGTCCCCATCGTCCCCAGAAGTAACCCAAACTCAACTTCCTCCTGCAAAGCGTGTGAAGGTCAACGATTCACCCAGTGCAGTATCGACAAAGGCTATTCAGCAACCCTCGGTTCAGACCCAGTTATTGAAGAGTTCGCAGTCAGGGGCTGGGCAACCTTCACAAGTGCCTTCCATTGGGGCAAGCTCGACTCCTGGATCTGTTTCAAGTCATCCCTTCCAGACTGCGTCACCAGAGTCAAGGCAGTACCCATCTTTGATGGCAACAGGGCAACCGTCTTCTCACTTCCTGAATTCACAATTCAACAAGCTTACTCCTGGATCATCATCAGCTGCCACCCAGACACTGAAAGGGGGACGGCCCGGTGCTCGAGGTCCTGTGAAAAATGCCTCCCTGCGGCCAGTGTCATCTAATCATGTGCAGAGCGCAACACAGACAAGCTCAGTCGGTCTTCCGAACACAGCATCAGGAGAAAGGCGGAATTCTGCAGGGCTTCTCCATCCAAAACTAGAAGGCTCTACCCATCCAAAAATGGAGCCAAGTTCACGCCTGGTACAGAATAACATTAAACCGGACCTCTCAACATCAATGCAATTAAAGGCTGAGCCCATCATGTCTTCCAGCAGGACAACCTCAGTAGGCAGCCAGCTGCATGCCAAGCAAGAACGAATGAGTCAAGTCAAGGCGGATTCATCTCAGAGCAGCAAGGGGGGGGTTCCCAGTTCAAGAGCAAACACAGCGCTCAGCAGCTCGAGCAGCAGCTTGGACGGCAAGAAGAAGTTGGCAGTGGGCAACATAAGCGACAGCAGCTTGGGTCAAGGGGCCATAGTGCCACAACCTACTCAGCAAAAGCCTGCGAAGCCTAAAGTGCCTGGCATTTCCCTGACTGAATTGTTCACTGCTGAGCAAATAGGAGAACATATAAGGGGCTTGAGGCAGTGGGTTGGACAGGTATGAAATATGTGCATGTTGAGAGTGTCTGTCAGCAAGGGTAGACGGGGAAAGGTGATGGGAAGAACAACAACAAGTGAACGTGACAAGAGGGCGCCAAATCTATGGAGTGGGATATGAAGTCTGTCTTTTTTCTGTTTTGTTTTTTATTTTCTTTTTCTTCTTTGCCTTTCAACCCCAATGTGCATGCAACTCACTTGAGAGTCAGTGCCTGCTACAGCTTACACAAACCTATTTGAATTGATATTGATGATGAAGGTAGGTAATGACAGTGATAATGACTGTGAGATTGAAATGACAGTCATGGTAAGACATTGAATTTTGTAGGGTGAAATACGACAATGAAGCACGATGACGATGATGAACGACGTAGATGCACTGGTGTGACGACTTCGGGTCCCGGTAAGGAGGAGGAGAACAGGAAGTTCTTGATAGGCAAAGGTCCTGGCTACTGGTAATAGCTGAGTGCTTAATGGCCTCTGGCGGGTCATGATCTTCTGCTGATGGCACTGTCTGTCCGACAAAGGTATTTTGCAGGCACTGTAGGGTGGGGGTACATAACTGTTTCATGAAAAGGCGGGTGTCGGTGGCAATAAACAGCATTTGGTAACCCCGGAAAACCATCAAAATTTCTATATTGAAATGGCCCACTGATTTCCAGGATCATTTGACGAGTTCAGTCACTGCAACGAAGCAGACCCTGGGACCTGGACTTAGACACCTTGTAGGCTTGACTTGCAGTAATTGCGAAACCCAAGCAGCTGCTGCAGGATACTTTCCTTTCTGAAAGCGATCCAGCATATGACCTTCAGATTCTAGTTTTGCAGTCAGTTTGCAGTCAGGCTAGCGGTTCATGAAGGGGTATGTAGTAATATATCCAAGGCATTCCGCTTTGCAGACCACTCGCCAAATGTCAACATTTTGAAGGTATCTGGACTGAGGTCATGTTCAGATCCGTTCACAATGTTGGCATTTGATGAGTGGTGCGGTGAAGCCCATTAGGGAAGTTGATAGCCGAGCTGTGTAACATGTCACAAAATTCGCAAAGTTGCTGTGGCACCCTCTCAGCAAGTTTGTTTAGACATCCAGCAGTACCAAAAAAGAGCGAGGCTGAATACTCACTGTGTGTATAAAATGTATGCCTAAGAAGTTTTCCCTTTGGGGGTGTCTGCAGCCCGGGGTACCCGGGCATGAGAGGAGCTCAGATCTGGGCAATTTTTTCAGTGTTGTCCACTAAGCTGGGGAAAAGGGGGTTGTAAAGGGGTTCAGAGGGGTGTGCCTTGGTCTAATTTTGTTAATTTGCTTTCTATCTGCGATCCGGTAAGGACGTCGGAGGTGAATCTCAGCTAACGATTTGTTTTTCCCACTTCTTTTTTGTTGGTTTTTTGCACTGGGGCTGTGCGGTACCATGCCAAGGGGTCATGCCCGGCCAGGCATCTGTGTGTGCCCAGGCACTGGGTGGAGGCTAGGGCATGCAAAAAAAATATGTGCCTAATCATATTATTGGACATCAGCAAGAGTGGAAATGCAAAACACGAGGAATATGACAAAGTGAAGATCAGAAGAGGTGAGAAATTGAGAGGGGAACAACCAAAAGAGAGCGAATGGATCACACCAAAGTTACAGGAAGAAGTACAATTATCATAAGAAGATGCTGTTCAGGACAGAGATGATGTTGTGAAGCACGCCATGCACATGGTGGAGGAAGCGGTAACAAAGACATGGGAGAGGATGGTGAATGAGAGGTCAAAGAGGAAGAAGAAGAAGAAGAAGAAGAAGAAGAAGAAGGTGATGACGGCAAAAGCAAGATGGAAAAATGCCCCAGCCATGTGGAAGAATGATTGAGAACATATACCAAAGAAATCTGTTGATAATGTGGGTTAGAGAACTAGAACGACACTGGGTTTTGTGAATGCTGTGCATGGCGAATGTGCAAGCTGCATTGACGCCGATTGCCATGTGCGGAAAATGCGTGGCAGATGCACAAACTGTTCTAGTGAAGACTTGTCTGGAAAACAGTTTGTCAGCAGCGTTAGGCTTTGACGAGATCCTGAGTATGGGTGTGGTTGGTTTTGAATTTGTGCATGTGTTTGTATGTTTTGTCATTTTGTTTGATGGGGGAGGGTGGTTGTGGTTGGGGATGTTGAAGAGCAAGGCCAAGGCAGCGCAGAACATCGTGCCTGATGACAAGATCAGTGAGAATGCCTGCCGTCTCTGTGCAGTGGAGAAACTGGCGTTCGAGCCACCTCCACTGTACTGCACGGCCTGCGGTGCACGAGTTAAACGGAATGCCTCCTATTGGGCCGTTTCGACAGGGTCAGAGACAAATAATATCTTTTGTGTGACCTGCTACAACGACGCCAAGAGTGACACGTTGGAAATAGAAGGCGGATCATGTCCCAAGAGCAAGCTTGTGAAGAAGAAGAATGAAGAAACTGAGGAAGCGGTGAGATATCTCTTTTCCCTTGTCCTCACTGTACTTGTCTACTTGTATTCCTTGCACTTTCAGTTGCCACCTCTCTCCAGCTCTCTCTATCAGTCCCAACCTCTCTCTCCCTGTGTCTGACTGCTCTCATCTGTCTATCTCCCAGGCCTCCTGCCCATCAGCCCGCCTGCCTGTCTTGGCTGCATGAGATGGGGTTTCACCAACAACCTGAGAGTATTGTGTTCCATTGGTATGTACCTTTCTTTTTCTTCATTAGACAAGTCCTAATGGCCCCGAGTACTGAAAAAGAGTTGATGGGCACCTTTCATATCACAGGTTGTACTAAAGACGTTGGGATATATCTGCTCTCTCAAACAGTAGTCCATTGTTCTTTCATTCATGTTCGTTCACTCCTGATTGTATCGCTTCGTCGGGTTGATCGGCTGCTGGGTGTTCTGTAATCCGAGCGAGGTATCGGAGTTGTGCCTGTCCTTCCACCTTAAAGCACCAGTACATCCGAGCGTCTTTTTGCCTAGGCGGTTTTCCCCTGCATGCCGAGCTTTGCAGAAATGCCAGCACGGCGTTGTCGGCCCCCCCAAAAAAAAATAAAAATAAAACAGGTACCTTACGGCCCTGGCGCCATTTCCATACTGGGGATCATCAGCCCGGGTCCTATTCCACCGGCAAGTCAGAATACAATATTACATCATGAAATGCACTCACGCGTCCTTCCGGCCGGCCGATGTAACCCTGACCAGCATTGTTTACTCCAGCATCATGGAGGATTGACTGTCAGCTTGCCTCACTTCCACTATTCGTCTCAGGTCCAGTGCATGAACCTGTCAGATAAATGATAAAGAGCAAGAAAGGTAAAAGACGCTACGGAATATGCAATCTCGGAATTTGCCCTTCAATATTATGTGGCCTGTGATGGATCTTGCCCTTCTGCTGGCTGAGATCTCTGCCTTCTCCACCCTGCTTCTGAGTTGTGCCAGTCTTTCCACCGTATGCGAACATCATTTATCTCTGCTACTTTGCCCCCTCCAAGCCACACCTAGAGAAGGTGAATTTTGCCTTGATTCTTCTCTGTTGCTCTTCGTCATCTGGCATGGAGTGTCTCGTCTTATGCCATTTACAAAGAAGCACTACCTAAATCAAGGTCCTTGTTTCCGCCCATACCTTCTCCCTTGAAGTTGAGAGTCCCTCAATTCCTTCCAGATGGACCACAGCATTACCTTTCTGATCATTCCGAACCACTTTTTCTGTGTCTTGTGGAATTGAGCTGGTATGTTAGTCCATAGGAGTTGGATGGGGTTTTCAGGGAGGGGAGTCGAGAAGAGGGAGTCCCAGAGATCGGAGACCCTCGCCCAATATTCCGTCGCCTCTCTACAGCGTATCAGGCAATGTAGCATATCTTCTGGTTCATTCTCTGAACATACCGCGCATAACTCCGAACTGTTAGGATCATTCTTACTTCTTCTGATATGCAGCCATTGGAGGCTTCTGATTTTGACCGGTCATCTGTTAGGATCATTCTTACTTCTTCTGATATGGAGCCATTGGAGCCAGGTTGAGGATTCGCTCAGCAACTGCTTCCAGCCTTCTGGGATGCAGTTGATAATGGATTGTAGATTCTCGTCTCGACGGTGACATCCTTTGAGCTGGGAGGCAAGTTCCTGTGCTGTCACCCAGTCATTCTCCTCGTTCCACAGATGGCTCACTTTCCCAAACCCCGTGTTTGATCCACGATAACCATCTCCGTCCTCTAGGCTTAAGGGATAGTTGGTGATCACTTTCGTCTCTCACCCACGGATTACCAAACAGGGGTTGCCTCAGTACCTCGTCTTTGGATTTGGGTCTATCCAGCTTCTTCGGCACGACTTCCTGCCATCTCCTTCCTCTAGGCTTAAGGCAAGTTCCTATTCTTTATTTTATTTTGTTTTCTTTTTTTCTTTCGGGTGGTGCTGCCTGCCATTTTGGTCCGGTAGCACTGTTCATCTGAATTTTTCAGAATGACTCGTTATTTATTCTCAACTTCTCAAGTTTGGCTACGTGGTGTACTTGTGGTTTAAGCTGAATCCTCGAACGTTAGGCACCTTGTGTCTTGTAAGCCAGACTGTCTTTTAACTTTGCCAGCATTTCCTGTTTGATGCATGACTGTTCTGAAATCGAGATTTAAACTTCCCTCAGTTGAAACTGAATCTCTGCCTCAATCATGACCTTGGTGGATGCCCAAACTCTATCATGTGGATTCACGGGGCCGTCCAGAGTTCTGCTGCATCTTCCCTTCTGTATGGCCCACAGAAGGCGGATGGAAGAGGAAGAAGATCAACAGTAATAGACCCTTTGCCAAGAAAAGGTAATGAAAGGACGTAAAACGAAATTTAATTAAAAATGTCCTTTTGGGATATCTGTTAGATTTCAATGACATGGCGCTTATGCAAGGCCGGATAAAAAACAGAGTTAAAAAAATGGTGTTTGCCACTGTTTGGTCGAGTCCTTGTTGGTCCGGAGTTTCATCATGATCCATGCTACAGGGTGTCGCTCCACCACCCACCACATGCACGAAGGACAAAAGTTTGCGAAAGTCCCTAATGGGTAGTTGAAAGTCCTCAATTGAGGCAATGAACTGGTGTGGCCATCCCGCTCCCTTAGTAAGATCTGGTCCTTGTGATTAGCGTAGTGCTAAGAGGAAGGGGGTTGAGCTTCGTGGTATTGCGTCGAAGGGAGGCCCACTTGGGAAGACTAACTACGCTTATAGATGCAACATGGTTCATATACATAGCATGATAGGCCTCTAAGACTATGATAAATGCGGTCTAGTGGGTCTAGAGTCCACTGTTCATCGAGCCAAGGGTTGTTGGCAGCATAATGATTCGGGGGGAGGTTACCCCCAAGGGACTGGGTACGAAGAGTTCCCCTCCTGCCTTGGGACGGCAATCCTCAACTGAGTGCACTGAACAGGGGTCTGAGGCTCACAAGCCGGGATGAAAAGTGCCTAAGGAGTTGTGTATGTATAGGGAAGGGTGTGAGGGAATTACAATGACCAGTCACACCCAGGCTGGCTGTGCCATAGAAAGCCTGATCCTACCACCCGCAACCCCTTCAGCAGGGTCGCATCCCTGCCGACCGCCGACCCCGACCGCCGACTGTATTGCAGCCGACCAGTAGGGCTGACCAGTCGACGGTCTGCTGACCAGTCAAAAAACAACCATCCACTGATTTTTTTCCAAATCTGAGTTGGGGGCTGTACTGTGCTTGCTGAGTACAGCCCAAATCCGCTGAGAAACGTTTGGGGATGGGGGGGGTATGTGGGGGGGGTTGGGGTTGGAGTATAGGGGGGGCATAGTGGTGTATAGGGGATATATAGGGGGTATTGGGGGGGGTAATGAGGGTGTTGGGGGTGGTTCAGGGGTGTCGGGGGGGTTGTATGGGGTTATTGGGGGCCGCTATGGGGGTGGTGGTGGTGTTATTAGGGGTTCTGGAGCCTTTTTTTTTTTTTTGCGGGGTGGGGACGACCCCCCACTGGTAGGTGCCGACCATCTGATCGGTCGGTGGGTCGGGCCCTGACCAGTCAAGGGCCGCCGACCGTTGGGGGGTGCAACCCTGCCCTTCATTAGAAAATAGAAAAAAATATGCCAATGTTGTAGTGAAAGATTCATTCTCATTTTGCACATTCGGTCAGTGGTGGAGCGAGGCCCATGATCTTTTAATCTTTCCAATTATTGAGAAACTTTTCTGAGGCAGCTTCCGGCGTAAAGAGATCTGCTCTGGATTGCAAAAGTGAGCACCGTCAGTTCTGTCAGCTTTCGTGTGATATATCGTGCCTGTATAAAGTGTTGAGGAATGTATCCATGAGTGTATGATACTGCAGGTTTTTATGTCTGTTGTTAGTTGAACCAGGAACAGAAAGCCTACGGACAATGAGTCTTCAACTGAACCGGGCATAGAAGGCCTGTGGACAGTCATTCTTCAACTGAATGACGTACCGGAAGTCCATGACTGCAATCATTCGTCTTTCGCGACGTAGAGTCTGATCTTTGGCGACCTTGTTGTTGAGATTGTGGTTGTGTACTCCAGTGGGTGCAATGCGACAAGTGCGAGAAATGGCAGCATCAGATCTGTGCTTTGTTCAATGGTCGTCGGAATGAAGGTGGTGATGCTGAGTACACATGCCCGGACTGTTGCATGGTGGAGATGGAGAGGGGTGAAAGGAAGCCGCTGTCATCATCAGCAGTCCTTGGTGCAAAAGACTTGCCCAGGACGGCACTGAGTGACTATCTGGAAAAGAGGCTAGCAAATTCACTGAAGAGGGAGGCTGTTGAGAGGGCTCGGCATTTTGGGATTTCGATTGATGAGGTATGGATCTGCTGTGACCATCTCTTTCTTTTTTTTTTCAACAGATGTTTTCGAATCCGCTTCACTTGCAAAGCTCTTGTTTCTTCTTGTGACCATCTCTTTTTTTACCAGGAAATCGCCATTTTATGACAACAGCTGGAAACCGGGTCCAGCGTCTCATAGCCAGTACATGTAGAGGTTTGGCACAATTCAATTGGAAACAGAAATGGATGGCTGTGGCCTAGGCATGTGTCAGCTTAAGTGCCTGGCATGGACCAATATATGCGCCTTATAATTTGATCATATGTTTGAGATTTCACCACAGTGGTGCCCGTGCAATAGTGGATATTTCATCAGCTGTTTGGCTTTGACCGAAGCAGTGGAAGCACCCAATTCTTGCAGGGGCTGCTATCAGCACTGATTGGTTTGCACAGGGTTTTTTTTTTCGCGGGGGGAGGGGGAGGACAAGGGCCCATTTATGAATCATCCTCGGGTGTCATTTTCTGCTATGGCAGCGTGGATGTTCCAGATTCACGTACGTACATAAATGACATACATGAACAGGGCGCTACGACTTGAGGCTACAGGGTGTTACATGGTTCGGTTGCAAAAATTTCACTGACAATATCAAGGTTGTCCATGTGCATGTACGTGCCATGAAGTCATCGAGGCCATAAGACTCTGTGCTGCTGTGCCCTGAACAGAAATGCTTGGCCTGCATCCCGACCCTCAAGCCACAATAAATGTTTGCGTCTGCAACAAAGTTTTGCCATCGACTTGTACCCAGTTCTGGAACTTCACAGAAGTGGCCTTGAGTGTCAGTGCAGGCAAATATTTCAACATGTGAACGCTGCACCATTTCCGTAAGTGCCAACAGGAGTGTCTCTGTAACACTATGATATAATCTCTCATTGCAAGCAGCCTGCTCTGTTTTCTCTTCATTTTTTTTTAACAAACGCCACATATGTTGTTTGAACTTTGACTGGCAAGACTGTTGTAGTGTCTGAAGCAGAGGCTGCGGGGCTTGATGAATATATTGATGCCATAGAGCACACTCTCGTCTCCATCCCTACTCCAATCCACCTTGGACAAATGGGGTTGTGGTGTTTTGCTATCCTTGAGCGAAGTCATGGCCATAAATCAACACGCTCTTTGTGCTCTGCTTGTATCGCCTTGAGCAACCTTAACTAGCACTTTGCCATTGTTATCGTCTCTAAGTGTAGAACCCGGTCCTCGTGTGACACGCCTCGGCCCGGGCCCAAGGAAATCCGGAGGCACGCATGACCGTTGTGGCACTGAACGTGTTTGTGGCAGCATGTCGCAGTGGCGTTTTCTTTATTTTGACTGGGCCGTGTAGGTTTGTTTGTTGGCAACGTCTATGCTTGAGGGCCGTGTTCCCGCGTGGCCTGTGCGAATACAAGTACATATTAGGCCGATTCAACTCTCCATGCTGCAGGCAAAGATTCCACTCTCTGCGGTGCATCTTTCCACGTTGCAGGTGACACATTTTTGTTTTGGGCTGGCCTGCATCAGTTCGTTGACAATGTCCGGGCTTCAGGGCTGCGTTCACGGGTGGCCTGTTCGAGTCCAAGTACATAGCAGGCCAATTCAACTCTCTGCGGTGCATCTTTCCATGTCACAGAGGAAGATCCATTCTCCAGGGTGCAAGTGGGAGGAGAAGGGGAAAGACGATGAGCAGGAGGAGGACGGTGGGTCTCGCTGCTTTCTTTTCTTTGGCCTTGTATCTTCCCATGTTTTAGTGGAATATTTGTTTTCATTTGTACGTTTGGGGAGTAGTGGAGTGAAGTCGGCTGAATGGGAGGAGTGCCAGGAGGAGCTGGATTTGGCGAAGTGGGATGACAAGTGGGATGACAAGTGGGAGGAGGAGTAGGATGAAGAGGGGGAAGACGACGAACATGGGAAGAACGAATGGCAGGAAAACAGAAGGTAGAAGACGGCGAGCAGGAGGGGAGGACAGTGGGCTTCACTCCATTACTCACCACATGTGGCCGTGTATCTTCCCATATTCTAACAAAAGATTCATTCCTTGCACCTTTGGTGTGTAGTGGAGCGAATCCCAGTGAAGGGGAGGAGCACCAGGAGGAGGGGCAGGATAACAAGCGGGAGGAGGAGGGGAAAGAGGAGGAGGGGGAGGACGACGGACACGAGGGGAACGAGTGGCAGGAAAAGGAGTGGAAGGAGGAGAGGGACGGCGACGAGAGTGAGTGGAAGGAAAGACGACGAGCGAGAATGGAAGGACAGAGAACAGGAGGAAGAGGAGTGGCAGGAGGGGGAGCACAATGAGGAGGGGGAAGACGGCGAGCGGAAGGAGGGGAGCAGGACAACTACGAGGGGCAGGACAAGAAGCGGGAGGAGGAGGACGGTGAACTGGAGGAGGCAGATGACAAGTAGTGGCAGGAGGATGTCGACGATCGGGAGGAGGAGATTGGAGGGCCTTGTGAGGAAGAGGCAGGAGAAATGGAAAGAGGAGGGGGAGGATGACCACTGGACGACGAGCGGGAGGAGGATGACAACAGACAAAAGCAGTGGCGAGGAGCAAGAGGATGATGAGTGGGAGGAGGATAACAACAAATGAAGGAGCGGTGGGAGTAGGATTGGAACGAGGACGGGGACGCCCAGTTCTAGGAGGAGGAGAGGAAGGAGGAGCAGGAAGAGGAGGAGAAGCGGGAAGAGGAGGCGGCTATCCAGCAGTGGACCGCTTGAGGCTCTGCCTTCCTGTGCCCGTTTTATCTTTTTCTATTACATTGGTGCAGGAAACTGTGCTCCTCATCTCCACTTCTTTCTCGTCCCAGTTCCCAGCATTGAACACAACTTGCTCATCACCGGTCTCCCGTAGCCACCTCTGCCATTGCGCCTATCAGCTGCCACACGTATTGCTCATCTCCTCGCAGGTGCCATACCAACGGCAGTTCTCAACTGTACAGGGTATCTCCTGGAGGGTGTTGCCACAGCTCCCCTTGTCCCCTTGCTTGCCAACCTCTCTGCACAGAGTTCACTGCCTGCTATGCTGCCAGAAGTGGATGATTGCCAGAAGTGGATAATTCACTTCTGAAATTGGTTATAACCTTCATGGTATGGAGTGCAATCAGACTCGCTTTCTTCTTCGCTCCACATACATGCAAACAGATGGCGAATCCCACTGGTGCACATCGCCCACGCAAAACTCAGAGATATGGAAATCGAGAACTCAGTTCAGATGCAAACTTGCTTCCACAGGCTATGGTGCATAAGCGCCTGCACATCCAACCCTCGATACTGTTTCCAACACCACTGTTCACACTCACTCGACTCTGGATCACCCTGAATACCCCACACACGTACACACTCTTGCGTCTCTCTCCTATCTACAGCGGCTATGGGCGCTTAACCATTAACTATGGCTACGCTAACTTCTTCCAGCCCACTTCGACTTCGGGCGCTCTGCAGACCACCTCGCACAAGTCGCTTGAGACCGCGCTTCCGCATGGCTTACACAGCGAATGATCCCATCGCTGGACGCTGCCCCTTGATTTATACTTCTGTTGGTCGCTGGTCTGCCCCTTTGCGCCAGGCCCTCGGTGCACACAGTCCCACACGGTACTTGCTTGACTGGACTGCGACTGACTGGACCGGTACCGCTGACTGCACGGCGTTCCACTGCCGACTCGATGCAGTCGTACTGCCTACTCGACGCAGCTGGACCTACGACTTACCTACAGACCTCTAGCCTAGCAGTTTCGACCTCTACACATCTGTAACCCCTACTTGACAGATCTACAGATCGAACCCCTAACAACTACGGGGACCTATGACAATGGTACAGTCTCTACTAAAACACAGGTCGCGGGTTCAAAACACACAGGGGTCTACTCGATACCGTACACGGGTGCAGGTACGGTCTAGGGATCGAACCCTGGGATCTCCATCTGCTTCTGCAAAGGTGAAAACCGTTTCACTCCCGCCGGCCTAAATTCGAGGTCCTCCGAGAATACTTCAGTCCAAGGCCGGACCTCTACCCTTCTTATCTCTCTCATAGGCTTGGACTATATTAGGAGCTGTCTCTAGAAGTTCTGCTCTGGTGAACCAGCGGTCGTATTCAGGTTCTTGATAAGAGAATCTGACTTTGTACTGTTTCTGTGGACGACCTCTACCTCCTGTCTTGAAGACATCCTCACCTACTATGCCATCGATGTCGTACCTCCCATCCATATCCGGAGGAATCGTAGACCTTCGTGATGGAAACTGTTGGCTTGTTGTACAAGGTAACAACTTCGATGCATGGAAAACTGGGTAGGTGTGGAGGTGTGCTGGAATCTCTATCGTGTAGGATGGTCCATCCTCTCCACCCTTGACTTCTAGGACTGGCCACGGTCCTCTATAAGCAGGTAGCAGCTTTTGCGAGATGTTCTCCTCAGGAGCAAACTCTTTTGGCTTGACCTAGACTAAGTCGCCGACTTGGAACTGTGAAGGGCGACAATGTTTGTTGGCTTACTCTATCATTCTGTGCTGGGCCTTCCTGAGGTTCTCAACTACTGTAGCTATCTCTTTCTCGTGCTGTATTGCAAACTCCTTGGTACCGGGCGGTAACCTTTGAATCTGATCCCGGTTAAGTTCTTCAAACGGTCTGCGTGGTTTAAAAGACTTATTTAGCTCATTGGGAGTGCGACAAGTGGCTAAGTGCACGCTATTATTGTAGGGACTGGCTACTTTTGGAAGCATCTCATCCCAGTCCAGTTGATCGGGCCTAATGTACATCCTTAAAACTTGCTGAAGGACTTTATTCATATGTTCGGTCTGTCCGTTTGTCTCTGGATGACGGCCAGACGACATTAACAACTTTGATCCGTAGTCTTTCATTAAGTCCTGCCAATTCTGACTAGTGAACCGGGTGTCTTTGTCACTTACTATAGACAACGGTAGCCGATGTTCACTGACCCAGTGGTCGAAAAACTTTCGGATCACTAAATCTACGCGTGCCTCAGAAGGCAAAGGAATGAAAATGGCATACTTCCTAAACCTGT